AAGCCTCCAGCGAAATTCATACAACTTCTTCTCCGAGCAAAGCCAATTCAGCAGCTGAAGAAATAAATAAGACAACAAACTCATGTTCATGTGTCAGGCCAAGCTGTTGTGCCTTCAAATATTTATAACTTTGACTCATCCTTAGTACTTCAAGTAGAAAATGCACTGATTTTGCACATAAAAGTTAACAGAAAATGAACATGGACGCATCAGCAGCACTTCACAACAACATGATATCACATAATCAACTAAGTCCTCGCCATTAGAGAATGTTGATGTATAAAGAAACATAAACAGAATCATGAATGTTTCAAAAGTAAAGCAAAACTTCTTGCTTCCATTAGCTCAATGAACTAAACTCTTTGATGGGCAAGTTTCAACATTTGGGGCAAAGGGCTCCTTTATAAAACCTCAAAACTTTGATGATCGACATGCTATATAAGCATCAAAGTTGATCATCCAAACAAAAACACTCATTCCGTTCACCATCCGAATGATCCCAGGAATCAAGAACACCAAGAAAATGCAGAAAATCGGCATGATCAACCAAAAGCAAGAAACCCAAATGCAATGCAGTGGTATAAGTGCAAAGATCCCACATTTTAGACATGCAAAGCAAAACCCCATTAGAACCCAGAAATCAAAATCTAGAAAGGAGAGATAACATACTCGAAAGTGAGAGAAAGAGCAGGAGGTGGTTCAATGTGGGGCTTCAGAGGAATAAAAGCGCGCAACCCCAGGAACGAAATTTCTTGGTTTACAGTTCTGGCAAAGGGGGCGGGGGAGCTGTAAAACCGTTATGGAAAAGTGAAGAAAAGAAAGGGAAAAGGGGTTGTTCCAAAACGGGGAAGAGGGAAGAGGGAAGAAGAAGAAGGGGTTGAGTATCGACGCCGGCCTCTTCCCTGTTCCTTTTCCCACCAACCAGAAGCTACACGCCGAGTTCGAGGAGTAGAATCAGTCCAAAACCAGGCCGATAAAAGAGGTGCTTGGAGTTCTCAGGAATTGACCCTTTCTGTTCCCTTTTATTACGATTCTGACACTTCATAAGCTTTCTTCTGCGATTGCTCGTGGGATGGATTATGATGAGAAGGTCATGTCTTTCTGAACTTTTTCCACAATTTCTCCCTTCCTAATTTTCAACCACAGATTCCTTCTTCTACAACAACCATTTCCATTTTTTCTCACTCAATTAATTTAATATTTTATCTCAAAATTATTTTTTAAATTTTGTAAAAACTTTCAATAATACTATTTCCAAAAATAAGTCAAAAACAATTTTACATTTAATTTTAAAATAATTTTACTTTTTTATTTTTTTTACTAAAAGTGTAAATGTATTAATGTAGGAGTATTTTTGAAACCTTTAATAATATATTTTTGAAGTTTTAAAAAAAATTAAAAGAATAAGCTCAAATGCATTTTTGGAACATTTTATATATATTCGAAGGTTAATTTCTTTAAAATAGTATTAAAAAAATTTAAAATTGAAAGATATATATATATATATATATATATATTTATTAATGTAAAATTTATATGATTTTTTAAATTATAATTTTATTTTTAGATTTATATTTATCTAATTTGGTGTTTATATTCAATATATTTTTTTTTATATATTTCAACTTTTTAAAAATTATAGGACTAAAATGTTTTCTTTAAATTTTTTATTTTGGTTAATAAATTTTAGAAAATGTCATATTGAAAATAATCTATTAAAACAAAATTGGGAATTAAAAGACTTAATGAATACAAAAAGGAAAAAGTTGAAGGAAATACAAAAAATTTTAAAAATTTAAGATCATATTTAATTAAAAGTTGGAAAAAACTTTTAAAATTTGAAGGATTAATTTTTTTTTTTTAAATTGAATTACTAGTTAAATTTCAAAATTAATTTATATATTTATTTTAGTTTTAAAAATGTTTTAAAAATTATGTAATTAATGTTTATAAACTTTACTGAAAAAATATCTTTGATTCTAAATTTATTAACCCCTCATTTTCATTTGCATATATTTTAAAAAAAGAAAAAATAAATAAAAGATAATAAAAAACGTTAAATCATAAATTAGAGAGAAAATCGTAGAATAAAACAATCGATAAATCCTACATAAAAAAAGTCGTCCATATATAACACTTGTTTTATTTTAATTGTTCTTCTCACGTTACTTTTAAATAATTATTAAAGTATCTACGGGTAATAATATTTTAAAAAATTTTAAAAAATTAAGTATATTCATTAAACCTTGAAACAAACGTTGGGGTATTTTTTTAATTATTTTAAAGAGTGTTAATTGAAATTTATTTTTTTTTAATACCAAATATAAATTTAATAAATATTTTTATAATTTAGCATTTAAAAAATTGATAATTCAATGCCACAAACAATTTTTTATTAAAGAAATAAGGACCCGTACTCCAATGACGCATACCCTTGCAGAACTTGCGGTGAAAATCTAAAAACAATTACAAAATAAAATAAAATAAAATAAAATAAAATAAAAGCAATGGTGCATATATAATATATATATTTATTTATTTATTTAGTTTATTTATTTGGGTTGGTTATTTCACAACCTAATTCTTTACTTTTCAATTATGATTAAAAATTAATTTCGTTATTGTAGTAACTTCCTTGGTAATAATTTTAGTCGTTTTATATTATTTTATTTTTAAAATTAATTCTATAAATATTATTTCCATTAATGAATTTTGTTGTTTTTTATTATTTTTTAAAGCTAAAATAAAAAGGCATATTGTTGGTTAGGAACAACATACTACGATCACATATAAAAGTGTTGTCCTTCAACTCTGTAATATGGAACCTCTCAATAGCTCCCATTACTTTATGAGGTTATTTGGTTAGTCAGTCATCTTGATCTACTTCAGGGTATTGAGCTAGCTTCCTTAAAGAGGCTTTATGAAAACAAGGGATTTTCGAAATTCATTCTTGATTTCATCCATGTTCGTGGGTTTAGTTTTATTTTTCAAACTCGACACGTTTGAGGTGCATTATGGATCAATTGATTGGGGCTTTAGATTCGACGTTGCACACCAATCGTCTTCGTTGTAGTATGCCATCGAGAATCGTTGTGGAACGTGGTAACTAAATTATATGGAACCTCTCCTATGTCTGTTTGTTTCTCAGTAAAAAACTACTAACTACTGATAGGTTATGAAGTCCACTAATTATTTATATCTTAGTCAACCGTTATATATAGTATAGTTATATAAATATATGGCATATAAATAAATTGTCATAAATAGAAATAATTATGTATGGTAAAAGATAATTATAGAGAGTGGAGGGCTATATCGAGTAAACTTATATATAGTAAGCTAAATCATATATATATATATATGCTTGCAGAGTTAGAAAATGTAGTATTCTCTGTATTCTCTTACTGTACATACATGAGGTTATTAATATAAATACTTTAGTCAATATTCTCCTTACATTTTCTCTCTCTTGTTTTGTTGTATTCATCTAGATCGAGTATATGTGTTGTTGTGCGATCCTAACTACCAACGTCAATATTATAAAATTTTGCAAAATTTAAAAATGAATCAATTAAAAGACTGAAATCAAACACAAATGAGAGCAATTTAAAATTATTTACGAAATGGAGACCATAGATCGAGATATAAATTTAAACAATACAAAAGACCGAAAAGACACAAAAATCGATGCTCCAAGATGACTCATTTTGTGTGTAACGCTTAATAAGACGATTGAGTTAGTTGGGGTCGATCCAAATTACTACCATTGGAATCAAATTTAAATATTTTTATATTATAATGAATGATAATGTTCAATTTTTGTGCAGTGAAACCAATATTTTCTCGTTTTCTTACAGGAGAGGAAAAGAGTGGTTGAAGGCAGAGGGGCGCAATTCGACAGATGGGACTCGGTACGGCTCCTGAGCCAGCCTTGCGGCGGCAAAAGGATTAGACGTCCCCCATGCTTTAAAGTCAGTGTTGGAAGAGACAAGAAAAAGACAATTTTAATGTTATTACAATTTACTATCACCCCACCATGATAAGAAAAATTCAAAAGCCGGAGTTTAACATTTATTAGATGAAAGGAAGATCCTAAATATATAAGTGAGAGTGTTGTAGTTTATGATGTTATAACTGCAATTTAAGAGATCGAGTTATGGTTCAGTTGAAGAGTCGCCAATAGAGAATTTGGTAGCATTGGTTGAGCCCATGATAATGGAAGCATTGTGAATCTTTGGTCGATACTATAGTGGCTAGCTAAACAACTCATGCGAGAGCCAAAACTATGACAACTCAATAATGTCCAAGGAACTTTTGGTGATATGACCCTCGACCATATCTTTAAAAACTTAATTTAGACAAAGATTTCTTGTTATCACTAGAGACAATATTCTTATTAATGAACTACCTAAAAGTGTATAAGGTGTCACATGCCACGTTTTTGCTAGGGAAGACGCCTTTTTGTGATGGGAGTTCATCGAACCAGTAACAGACTTCTAGAGAAAATACTATCTATCGCTTAGTACAAGAAGAAACAACACGTAGATATATTACCTAGTAATAATACAAGAAATAATACGTAGATAAGCCACATAGTACATGTTAAACATATATCGTATCATTGTCTATCTTAATCTAAAAACATTCTAATAGTAAGAAGATCTACATGAAAGCCTAAGCCGAAGTCACTAAATTCTAAAATTGATGTTCAATCAATCTTACTTGTCGGGATTTGAGTACACTTATGACGTTCCACAACATCATAATTAGAACATATTTATGGAATTATTAACTCTTCTCAATGCTTCCAAATATGCCAATAATGACTTCATATTGGTTCAAATGGTGAGACCATGTCAAAATTACCAAATAGAGTCATTTAAGGTGAGCTGATGGGAAGCTGTCGAGCCGAGCACAAGTCGACAAACCTTTCCCATGCAAGGCTTCCTATAAATATCACTCGCAAACCACCAAAGTTGTTAAAAAAACTAAGCCTTACCATAAGAAAATATCCCTCCTTTGAGCCATTTTTTGTTCATCTTCAATACAAAAAGAAGATACACCAGCCATGGCCTCAAAAGATAATACCTCATTCGATGATGGGTTGTCCCTCGTCGATTTGCAAACTTTCAACCAAGTGCTTGGGGGATTACTTCATTTCCTATGATTCCAACACTATGGTATATATATATATATCTTCGAATATTGTTCTTTAAATTACTAATTTTGATTCAATCTTTCGTGTTTATTTCATTCGGATTCCTACAATGATATCGTTTATGTTTGTACAAATATTAAGGAAAATCAGTTAGAAGAGAAGATGGTTGAGAAACAGCTTCAAAAGCTAAAAGAAGACGTGATGAACATGTTTGTGACAGCGGATAAGTGTTCGGAAAAATTAAGGTTGATAGATTTAATTCAACGCTTAGGTTTGTCCCATCACTTTGAACTGCAAATTAATGAAACACTTCAACTATTACAAAGCTCTTCCGAAGTTGATGACGATATTTACAATATTGCCCTTAAGTTTCGATTGCTTAGACAAGAAGTTTATTCTATTTCATCGGGTAAGTCTCTAGCTCCACCATCTTTTGTGAAGGACAAACGTGGAATATTAAGTCTGTACGAGGCATCCCATTTGGGAATGAAGGGAGAGTTGGCCAATCTATAAAGCTGTGCCAAGGCTTATGACCAAGCACTACATTTCTGTCTATCACAAGGATCCATCAAATAGCACTGTTTTGCTCACTTTTGCAAAGTTGGATTACACCACAAACTCAAAAACTTTACCCGAAAGAACTCGTTCAATATGTGAGGTTTGACGTAAGAATTTTTTTTAGAGATGTTTAAAATATTCGATAACCTGAAAATATTGATCAATTTAACTCAATTCAATTTGGGTTGATCTTGATTATGAACGTATTTAAATTGAATTAAGTTCAAATAAATGGAAACTTTACTAGAATCAAATATTTGAGAGATCCGGGTCTTGGGAGACCTTTATTAGGCCTACCAAATTTTATGTGTGTTTGTGGGTAAATATGTAGGTGGTGGAAGCAATTGAATTTAATAGAAATACCATCTTTCGCAAGAGATCGGGCAGTGGAGAGCTACTTTTGGGCGTTGGGAGTGTACTATGAACCCAACTACTCGGTTGGTAGAATGATATTAGCCAAAATTATTGCTCTAATAGCGATTCTGGATGATATGTACGATGTATATGCTACATTGGATGAACTTTACCTATTCACAGACGCAATTCAAAGGTTTTATCTCTTTTTAACTCTTCATTATACTTGTTCATGAAAGGTTTTAGCCTTTTGATTAAATTTCTTTCAGGTGGGATATCAACTGCGTGGAGAAGCTCCCAGAGTACATGAAGATGTTTTATGAAGTGATATTAAGAACCTACTAAGAGTTTGAGTAAGATAATGAGCAAGGACATCATTAAAGATGGTATTCATTATGCAAAAGAAGCGGTATGAGTTGTTGCACACTATTCTAATCTAATGTTCATCACAAATAATGGCACTCTTTCTAATTCTTTGTTTTGGGAACACTTTAAAAGGCAGTGTCGAGTTTATTTTATGGCAGCCAAATGGTACCATGAAGGATATGTGCCAACCATGGAAGAGTACATGAAAGTGTCCATTGTATCCACTTGTTACTATCTTTTTGCTCCAATTTCATTTCTTGGTATGGGCGTTGTTGCTTCACAAGAGGCTTTCAAATGGGTTGAGAGTGATCCAATGCTTCTCAAGGCAATGGGAATAATTGGAGGCTTGAGAATGAAATAAATTCACACCAGGACACAAGCCATTTAAAGTAATAGGGAGAGTTAATATTAAGCTTTGTTCATATATTTAGCTTCACGAGTCAATAATACAAATCATTGAAGCTCAACTAATGGTGGGTATTGATTAGTTTTGAAGTTAATCGCTTCAAATCTGTGTAACAATCCAACCCATCATTAGCGGATATTTTTTATAAGAGAGATCACGTTGGTTGAAGAGAAGATTGAAGCATTCGTTATTAAGGTGTGTAACAATCCAACCCAAATGTTTCATTGTCTCTGTTTTTGTAGACCCCGTGCCCATTTGATTCATCTGTTGACGATTGTGGGTTCTTTTTTTTTTTTCGGCTCATCTTTCCTACTTGATGTATGTAGTTCTAAAAAATCGCTATAAGTGAAATAAGATTCGGATTACTTTGTTTATTGAGATTTGAATCACTCCACAAGCAAGATCGATTATGTCAAGCATAAATTATTCTAGACATGCAACTTAAATTACATGGAATTACAAAGAAACTTAGTTCTTGACTAAATGAAAGGTAAGAACACTTAGTTCTAATAGTGAGAAATTACTAAGGAAAATAAGACTCAGATTACCTTGTTGATCTAGTATCTCAAGACGATAACATTTGTTTGGGATTTGATATCTGTCAATAAGATTGATCATGTCAAACTAAAAGGATTCTAAACATACCATCTAAACTACACAGTATTACAAAAGAAATTTAGACAAGAAATTTATGCATTGGTTTTGTATGGCCTCAAAGTAAAAACCCATAACCTTCATTGATGCATTCCAAATTTTATGAACATTTTTTATAAAGACTACGGACTTTAACGATACTTTTAAAATTTTATGAGTATTTTCGAACATGTTCTAACGATTACTCTACTTTTCTACTATAATAAAGTCGTTACTATGTACATGAATTAATTAAGATACCTGATAAAGTCTTTTAAAAAATTTCAAAACTGTCTCATAGACTTATAGGTTCATAACAAAATCATAAAAACAGTTACACCGGAAAATAGATCACGTGAATCTTAGATAAAATAAGGAAAAAAAAAAAAAACAATGTCTTGTTCTAATCTAAAGACTACAAATAACATGAGTGCTATTATCCTAACTTCAGTCCCATGACCATCACCATGACATCGTCATCTGTGTAAAGGTGCCTTGTCTTTATCTATAAAGTAATAGTAGCATGTGGCTTGAATATTTTAGAGAATACTTCGAAAGTGACCTCACTATTGGAGTCAGAAAATGAAATCATATGCAGTCGCATTTAGGATCTATGAGTAAATATCATTTCATGGTCTTGATCTCAACTTCCAGCTTAGGTAGAATTTAATATGTAGTATTTCTCTACACACGTCCCACGTATGTGTCATGGCCCCAGGTGAGCTCGTATAACTACCCCCTGAACCTAGCCTTCGACTAACATATATCCAATCTGCTAGTATATCGAGGAGGGAAGGGAGCGCCAGTAGTATCATATAACACGATATCATATCGTTATAGTGTACGAGTCCGTACTATTCATAACGAGAAAGTATCCCGATGCAAGTGAACATACAATACGCATGAGATCCCCGTCGCTTAAAATCATGACACGTGTCTATGTTACAATAACATATATCTTTGTTCATTTCATATATAATCCTTTCGTGTCATTACATAAGGTAGTATACAATATGGTACCATACTTTCATAGCAGCTCCGTTCGAGCAACCGGAGAAGTTGTCAGAGAGTCGTCGGAGAGCAGTTGGTCGGACGTTGGGTTGGTGGAGTCGGTATGGGTCATCAAATCAGTTCGAGCGGTACTGGGTTTGGTCATCAAATCACGGTGATGTCTCGATTTGATATGCTTCATTTCATCTTCCTTTTAATTTCCATGGCCGACCCTTCAATCAATTGTTTTTGTTCTCTTGAAACCTTCGCCCATCTGGCTTGATATTGAAGCTTCTTCATAGTTTTTCTTTGGTTGGACCCCAACAGCTGGTTTTCTTTTAATTCTACCGTGTTTTTCCTCCATTGGAAGGGGAGTGGTGAGCGTACTGTGGTCCAAGCTTCTCCTCTCGGATGCCACCTTGACTTGTCATTCTCAGATGACTCATTTTGTCCAGCTTTTCAAATATTACAACTAAATGTCAGAGGGAGAGCTTCTAAGTTTGAGATGCTATCAACTCAGATTCTTCATCTTCCAGTTTAAAAGGTCGAACAAAGATAGTTTGTATGTGGAATACCCTAAAGTTTTCTTGTTTCTTTATGAATTAGGTTAGGAGATAGATGAACTTGATCGAGCACAGACATCACATACTAGGTGTGGTGTGAGATCCCACGTCAGTTGGAGAAGAGAACAAATCATTTCTTATAAGAGGATGAAAACCTCTCCCTTGTGGACACATTTTAAAACTGTGAGGTTGACGACGATACGTAACGGACCAAACCGGATAATATTTGCTAGTAGTGGGCTTGAGTTGTACAAATGGTATAAGAGTCAGACACCGAGCGGGTGAATTATGAGATCTCATATCAGTTGAAGATAAGAAAAAACATTTTTTATAAGGGTGTGGAAATCTCTCCATAGTGGATGCGTTTTAAAATCATGAGGCTAACAACAATACGTAACGGGCCAAAAGCAGATACAAATAATATATATCAGCAGTGGGCTTGAACTGTTACACAAAAAAGAATGCAATACACAAATCTGTTTGTAGGTTGAGACTCAGTTCCTTAATAAGGTTAGAAGAGGAATTGGGTCTTGACCTAATTCCTCTTTTCTTTTTTTGAAGTTAATAACACGTATACGATGTCATGATTGATGAGTATAATAAAGAAAGAGGTTGAATAAACAATTTTATTCGTGGTGACGTCTACTTATGTTAGCATGTCATATAGTTATTAAATATTTCTCGACGAAAGTCAAATATCGTAGGGCAAAAGTCAGAGGACCACAACCAATTAATGTGAATATTTTAAACCCGCTTTAATTATATCACAAAGTGTCACGGGTATTCAAGTATATTCCAAACTTTTTTATTATATTGTATTGAACTTAGGTATTAATATGGTAACGTGATCAACATTTAATTTGTTGATATTGTGCACATGTTGTATGGAGACATTTAGGGAAGCCATTAATAATTATTGATATGTGCCAAGCCACTTATGTGCGCACTAAATGCACCCATCTTCGCTTTTGGGACAACAGTGATACCCTCATCATCACATTGCCAAAGTAAGGGAAACCACAATTGTTTAGGAGGTCTAAATAGTTAGATTCTGTTTAGGTAACGTTTCATGATGGTCCGGTAACTATGTCACTATACTAATTTTGAGCTAAATATGAGAGTGAAATTCATTTCGAAAGACCAACACGGGTTCTTATCAACTCAAAAATAGAGTTACAAACCATCCAAACTCTAACGTACTTTTATGATTATTATGAAAATTAAAAATATTTGATTGATTCTTGTAATGTGTTATGATTTGTGAATATTTGATTTCTGAGTTTTATGGTATGTTAGTTGTTAATATAACATATATAATAGATTAATTAGATTTTTTTAAATAATTAAAAAAAATAAGAACAACCCGACAACCCAACGTGAGAATAGAGGGTTAGGATGAATTGTGAACTCTATTCAGACTGTTCAAGTCACTAACTCAACCAACTCGGAATAGTCCATAAGATTTGTCTAACTTAACTGAACTCAACCCGTATTTTTTTTTTTATTATTTACGTGTAATGCAATGTTTTGAAAACAAAACATTACTTTTTTAGTTTTTTTTTTTTTTTTTTGCCAAAAATAGAAAGAAATATGATTTTGTAAGCTAAGGCGGTTTCAAATTCAAACTTGGCTTAAAAAAGGTTACACATTTTTCACATTAAAGTGTATTGGAAGCTTTTCAGTGGGTCATGTCCTTCAAAAGTATGTTATATATATATATACAAACTCCACTTTGGATATCGAAATTGAGAATAAAGTGTTTCAATCATCTTAACTACAAACTCCACTTTGTTTCAAGTGCTCATATAACTCGATACTTCGACTCATTCAGACTACTCAATTAAAACCATCAAAATTGAATTGGGTCAGAATTTTTTCGATCACGGTTAGGTTGAATTTTTTTAAAATCAAATAATTTAATTTGGTTTTGTGAGTTAACATGACCCGACCAACCTGACTAACTCGATCAACTCAAAAATAGAGTTTCAACCCAACCCTGACCTACCCTACTTTTTTTTTAAAAAAATGCGTTGTGACTTGTAAAACTCTCTATTCTCGAGATTAGTTGTAAACTTTATTCGAATTGTTCGCATCATTGAACCGAGTTGATTCAAAAGATTTTTCTAACCTAATCCAACTCAACTTACATAAACGAGAGCGGGGAAGTGAGAGAGACAAGTTAAAAAGACTAAATTGTAATAATAGTAAACAGCCAAAAGCAGTCTGACCTATAAAGCATTCCAATTATTACCGACAAGTGCAGCCATTTATGGGTCACACAAAATCATATTTTTTAAGCATAAAGACATGTCCACCAGTCACAATCTCCCTTTTATCTCATCCAAAATCACACATATTCAACTCAAAATCTCCATTCAAATCCATGTTCTTACACAATTTCAACTTTGTTCCTTCAAATTTAGCCTCTCAAAGAGAATCAAGAACACTTTCAACCATGTCTTGTTGTTTTGATGACCTCAATTTTGATCTCTGGTGGGTTCCTTTTGTTTTCTTTCAACTTGTGATTAAATATGTAGCTTCACTTTGGTTTTTACTCTAATAGTAGCTCCATAGATTTCCATCTCCACTCGAGTTCCATGAGTAATACTCATGTCGAGACGGCGATGAGCTAATTCGTGGTGGCGACAACAGCATTCCCTCTGCCATGTCAACAAGTAGATTTGGCATTCCAAAAAGCGCCTCTTCGTCGACGAACTCGTCAGTTGGTGGAGATTGGTGGTGACTATTGTAACTTCCTTCTCCATGGTCGATCCTTTTAGATGCTGCTGCAGCAGCAGCGACACGAATATCAGTCGAGGACATGGAAGTTGGAACCGGGTACGACCCAATTGAGTCGGGGAAGTTGAGAACAGCATTGCAACCCTTTAGAGCGAGCGCAGCCACGTCGTAGGCAGCAGCAGCCATCTCCGGAGTAGGGTAAGTACCGAGCCATATTCGAGTCGTCTTACGGGGCTCTCGAATCTCCGACACCCATTTTCCGCTCCGGCAGCGGATTCCCTTGTAGTGATGATGCTTGTTGGAGGAGGTAGAGGCCATGAGAGATTGAATTGGAATAGAGTAAGTGAGAGAGAATTCAGACATATATATAAGTAAGGAATAGACAAAAAGAAAAGGGCTGAAAAGTGAATGCGTGGGGAGTTCGTAAAACATCATTAAAACAAACAAAACACACGGTTCATCCAAGGTAAGAGCCCACTTAAAAGCCATGAGAGTGATAAGTGTGTTCATAAGTAAAGGATTTAGCTGTCTCCATTTCCCAACCAAACGCACATGCTTTTCATTTCTTAAAAACATCAATTCTTTATGTCTCAAATAATGTTGTTCCCTTTTATTACTATTGTGTTTCATTTTTTTTTTTTGTAACTTATATTATTCTTCATCAATGTTTTGGTTGGAACTAATTTGATTCTTAATTTTCATATACAACTTAATTTTAATCCCGAGTGAATTTTAAACTGCTACCCATGAGGGCTTATCTTTTGATTTTGTAGTTGACTCAATAAGTCTACCATTTTGAAGATTTGACCAAATACGAAATTGAGAATGTAATTTCATGAGATGAAATTCACTCTTTCCTATATAAGGAACGTAGATGAGTGACTTCCTTTCGTGTTCGTTTTAGGACTTGAATAATGGAATATCACCCTCTCATCGGCTTAAAGAAACTTAGTTTATGTTTGAACCATATGCAAATTGTTCATTCGAATATCAGTGGTACTTAAAGTATAAGATGTAATTATAGGAGAAAAATGAATTTTTGACGCCGTTGGAATCGTGAACAACTCATGAAAAATAGACTTAACTGTCATGATTATATTCAAGGACACAATTTGTACCGAGTGGATAAAAATGCAACTTCAGATTTATAGTAAAGTGACTCAAAGTTAATGAACGAAAATTGGTTAATTAATCTTGAATTAAGAAATTTTTGAAAGGTTCAAATTCATATTTAAAATATTTTATATATTAAATCTACGCATAAAAATATATTTAATTTAAAAAGTTCCAATTATTATCCCATTTATTAAATACATTAAATATAAAAAGAAAATGATATTTATTATATATTAATTTATATGGATATCTCAATATTCATTTGTTTTATTGATGGCATAAATCATGTCATTTAGATATTTAAGACCTTTCATTTGTTCGTGTAAGAATGACATGTGTCAAAATATCATACGCCTATATTTATTGAATCACAACATAAAATTCACGTGGTGTTGGATCATTCTCCCTGTGAAAGGTGTCTACCCGTGAGAGAAGCAAATGTGTCCAAATATCTTATGATCTTCGACTCACAACATGAGATCCATGTGGGGCTTTGTAATGGCTTTTAGTTTGTCTCCTTACCAAAGTTGTTTGTCTCGATTAATATCAGGGTAAACACTTCGTTCCAATACTTAATACTTAATCTACCGTGTCGTGACACTTGTTGTGATAAAACTAAATAATCTAAGAGGATGTGTCACGTCTACAAATGGCTCATTGTTAATGATGTCCATATCCTCAATAATAATAACTAAATGTGATAGGAATGAGAGTTATTATTGGGTGAATAGTTGATTATATGATGTTAAGTAATATGGTTTATATTGAAGGAATCATTCATCAAAACATATACAAATCAAAACATGAGTTAAAAATCGAGACTCAGATGTATTTCGATTCCTACAACCCCACAGCTCGTACACACTCTAGCCTTAGGATGACCGAGTTAGCCCCCACCGTTGTTTTTCAAGTCATTATATGCATAATAAGTGAGGCGCTACCTCATCCGTGATGCAGTACTATTAGGAATTAGTCGAAAAATATCTAATATTACCCATATAATCATGACCATTAACCTCAACTTAATCTCAGCCAATTACTAAATATTTGTATGGACATTTATATATCTATCCAAACAAATTCATGACTAAGGGATAATTAGAGATCCCTAATCGTCTCGGGTCACAGTAACCACAAGACACTACATATCATAATCATCTAGGGCAGGACTCTCTTATCTATCATCTCAATCTCATCATCTCATACAAATGTACAAACGCTTCTCTCTTCACAGTTGTGGTAAATGTAGGCGTGGGACGACTTTTCAAGTGCTTAAAAGTACATTCAACACATTTATAAACGCTTGAAAAGTCATTTCAAATGAGACAAACTCAATCCAACCGTTCATTAAATCTCTCCGTTTGGTTTGGATTGAACCGACCTCAAAGACTGTTCAATCTCTCATTAACAACCGCATAGAATGAATTATCAAAAAGGCATGCATTTCCCACAATCATTCAACAATCTTCTCAAAATGATGCAAAATTAAAGGTTAATGATTCAAACTACTCTTATCCTTCTCAAAAGTTTTAACCAAGAAGATCCATCACAACTAAAGTAAATAACAGTGAACCAAATGTTCAGGATGTCCAGTGGAACATAGTCATTCAAAACCCACAAGAAGAACCAACCTTTCTTACCTCACTTATCTTTTCTAGCTTTCGATCTAGCCGGTGCGGGTTTAATTATCGAACCAAGTAAGATTAGCGTGATGGGAATGATGGTTCCGATGTAGTACACGCTTCCATACGAGGCAAGCGTCTCGTGCAAGCTCAAGACCTGCCAAAAATACTATAGCATTAGTAATGTAATTGAGCAAGTGTCTCATGAGAGAGAGAGAGAGAGAGAGAGAGAGAGAGAGCGAGACCATGAAGCCAACACAGGAGTAGTTCAGAACCAAGACTGTGTAAGCAAAGTTGAAAAATCCGAGTACTCTTTTGAGGAAAGCCATGGATGGAGGAATAGCTTGTTGCCATCTGTAAATAGCTGCTCGAAGAGCGGTACCAAAACGGAAGTGTTACAGAACTGGATAATGGACGTTATAAAAACAGGTAGGCCATTACATACCTCTTGAACCAGCAATCATCACTGCTGACTGAACAAAGAAGATGATGTACCCAGGATACAGACCCTATAAGTTTCCAGGTGAGCGGATAAGCAAGTCGATGTCAGAAGACGATAATATAAGAAAAGGACAATCCCTCAGATAGACACTAATAGGCAATAAACTAGAAGCCGTGATCTGTTTCATCATATACTCACATGCCAAACAGCACTGACAGTCTGTGTTGCCAGCAGCTGAAAGAAACCAGGTTTCTTCCCCTTTTGAACCAATCTCTCATAGACATCTACACCAGAATGAAACAGCAATAAGATCATTTTAAAATAATAATGACTCTCTCTTTAGATCAATCACAAATAAACTCACAATGGCGAAGCCAGGTGCTGACTTGAATATTCCATTTAAGAGGAATCTCAACTGCACTCTTCACGAACTCAAGTGCAAGAATGTCGACATTCTTTGCACGGTCCCAGCGTGGTTTAGGTGGGGAAGATTTCGTCCAACCACTGAAACCCAAGCCAGAAATAATGATGGAGGCCTCGGAAATTGACCAAATGAAGTAATATTTCCAGCGTGCAGTGAAGCCTGCCATATATTGGTACCCAAGACGCTTCCAGAATGGCCAATCATGGTAGACCGGATCAATGAAGCGGGACAATGGAAACTGCGGTACCAAGTACAAATACAAGCCCATGCAAAAACCAGCTTGGAGAAGAGCTCTAATGGTTGCCCAATATGGTGATGGAGGTGGGTTTTGTTCATCATGCTTCCAAATCTGAAAAAGAAAAGATTACGAAATTCAATATAAGAACATCTGTCCAAAATTTTGGGCAGAAAAAAATCGCAGCAGAAGAATGGACACACCCCTTTTCCATCAGTCCACTCAAGATAATCCTTCATTTCATAAACAGGGCCAGCAAAGTGGCTGCCACAGCAGAGGCAGTAACCAATGTACTCAATTAATGAGGGCAGCTTAATCAATCGATTCTTCTTTTGAGCCTCACTTAAACCTTCTTCTTCTTTTAACAACCCATCGTTATAATTTATCGCACATGAAATGACCTTCAGCGTCAACACCATCAAGGCCCCTGAACAATAGAAAGAATGTCAGTAACTAAATCAGCATAAATACATCAGTAAACGTGGATTTTAGAGCATATTTGGAATGAATTTCTTAATGACTAAAAAAGGGCTTTTAAGAGTTAAAAAATATTTTTAAGAACTTGGAAAGTAAATTGTGGCTTAAGACTGCATATAGGAACTGAGTTGTTTATCACATAATGACATCTACTACAATCTTGGCATGATAGGTTGGAGTTTTTCTTTAGAAGAAAACTTCCGGAATAGAAACCAAGGAATGAATTTCATGTTTTAGTTTGTTGCAAAATTTTGAGCCAAACTCTATCTGTTATCAGAGATTTTGGAGCCTGGAGAGGTTCCAAAATCATTCCTCCAAGTCTTTTTTAAGCACCTCTTAGCAGCCCACCACTTTTGTGTCTGCATAATTGTAACAACATAAACTTACCGCTAACAGATATTGTCCTCTTTCGGCTTTCCCTTTCGGGCTTCCCTCTAGGTTTTTAAAACGCAAATGCTGGGAAGAGGTTTCCACATCCTTATAAAGAATGTTTCGTTCTCCTCCCCAACCGATGGGAGATCTCATAGTAATTGTCTATATAAGGGCACTAGGAAGCAAAAAAAAAACTTCAAAGAACTTTCCCTAGTCTTCAACCTTGGTTGAACTCAATTTCGGACTAAATTCAAAGAAACCTTCAGCTTTTTTTATACCTAATGCGTGTTTTGTAATAATGCTTAGAGCCTCAATTGCATCTCTTTCAAGATTCATATCACTAGTCTGAGCAGTAAAATAGCTTTAATTGAGAGCAATACTGTCTTATGACTCTCGAAAACAGGTTTAGAAACGAGAAGGAGGCTTAAGAATCAATCAGACTCGAGTATCAATAGAGTACTCTCGATCTAAACTCTTTTGAGATGTATCAGTTCTATGATTCTAGCAATTGGATCATGTATTCTATAGTTATGACAAATGACTTTTGTTTATTATAAAAAAAAAAATGTACGACCAGACAACGACGTGTTGTATATGATACTTCATCAATATCAAATATTCAAGCCAATTGGTACTGAATTTGAGAATAACAATCATTATAAAAAAGGTACTATTTCCTAGTCCCTATTTGAGAAAAAATCTCAAATCAACATATTTTTTCACGCTAATGAAAGAAAAAAGGCACGAGTCGAATGAGTGATCTTACCAGTTGCATCGATACCTCCTTCCTTCCAAGCATCTCCACTCATGTAATATACATGGCTACACATGTATACAAATAGTCAAGAATTCTGGAATCAAAAGCACAATCTCAAGAGTCTGAAGATCTTCAGTCCAAGACTCGACATAAATCTTATTTATTGATGCAAACGGATTATAAACACAAGCACTAATCACATGCAAGATTTTTAGATCAATAAACATTCCTTGTTCTAAATAGAAATCTGCAGAACGATGATGGTAAGATTAGATTATTATACAGTCCAGGCTTTTGAACCGACATCAGGAACGTGTTTGAATCGTTCATGTTAATCCAGCTCCAAAAGGAACAGGTTAACACTCATCCAGTCTTTCCAACCTCCCCATCGATTTCTACTTGCAACAGACAACATTCCTACACTTAACTAAAGAAGGATAGATAAAATTTTTAGAAACTTCATATGGGATGGGAAGGTGCCATATCTAATGGAAGTCGACATCAAGTAGGTGGAACAATCACTCTTCCGATAGACCTTGTGGGTCTCCGTACCGATAGAACTAAGGCAATTCCTAAAGCTCTCCTCATGATATTGCTCACGAGGTTTTATGATTGTACAGAGTACAACTGGAAGTGACTCATCTCCATGATAAATATGAAACAAAATTATGGGACAATAATGTAAGCTTTATCAGTGCTACAACTGTACCAAGACAAAAAGACCAAATGAATCTTCCTACCATAAATTTAGCTCAGGAAAAGTAAAAGACTATATGAACTAAGCCTTAGCACTTTTTTCCCCCAAATTTCCTAACAACTGATCGTACAAAGGCTAAAAGTTTCTTGCTCGCATCAGACGGCTTCGGCTGAGAAAAACAGAATACTGAGCTTAAAACTATTTGACATCTTCCTCCAAGTCACTAGAATCAAAGTCAATCCAAAGCCCACAAAACACTACCGAACCCCAAAAACGAACACAACTCCCCATGGCATGCACAGAATAACAAAACCAGAACACAATACCAAGTTCAATTTCCACTAGATCCATCACTCGAAGAATGAACGATTGTAAAGGGAGTTAGTTGCATGCAACGAAATACAAATACCAACCACCCAATAGACAAAGTACTTAAGTAAGAAAAATGCAATAAGAACCAGATCGTTCAATTCAAAAACCCCATAAATCAAAATCCCCGAAAATGCGATTACAATAAGTGAAATTACAAAAAATAGCATACCATCCAATGAGATAGCCAAAACCCAAGACGAAGGTAATCAAGCCGCAATGGCGACGGAAGAGGACCATGGAAGCATAACCCAGCGACATAGGTACCAAGAAGTGGAGGTTCGAAGAGAATCCAAATGAGAGATAAGAGAGAAGAACGCCAGAGAGAGCGGAATAGAGATGCTTGGGGAGGCGACCTGGAACAATCCGCCATAGGAAACTGACCGGAATTGTGGCAACGAAACAGAGAAGGAACCGGAGAACCGCGACGGAGACGCCAATAGAGGCAGCCAGGGATTCCATCTCCAGGCCCATCGAAGGCGCTTTCTTGAGCAGAACTGGATTCTCTTCCAGGTCTTGTAAATGCTTCTCCGGTTGATGTAAGATCTCGACTGACCCTTCTTCTCTCTGCTTTTATCACATCGTTCCGATCAATGAATTTAGATTTTAATTTCAACTTCCAACTCTACCATGTGAATTTACCACATTGCCCCCCCAGTATTATAAAATACTAAATAATTCTATTTCACTACTTATATTATTGTTGACTAATAAAACTAAGCATAAACTTTACAAAACTATTATTTATTTAATGTAATTCATTAATTTTGTTAAATAAATATCTATTAATTAATTCGGTTCATATTAATTTTACGTCGATATTGACTCCATGGACTTAAAACAACTTTTTGTACAGTTGTGTACACTCACAATATTATTTACATTCTTTTTACTTTTTAGTATTTTAACAACGTGAATACATGTTAAGACCTTAGTCGGGCCTAGAGATATATTAACGAGCACATCTATGGGTCTATGCTCACGTGCGTGAACTATATGCAGAGAAGTACTATGCATCTAACCGTACCTAGAATGAAAATAAAGTCATGTATTACTATTTTTCCCAATAGTTTTAGGTAAAGACAAGTGACATTCGGTCGAATGATGACTTCCTGAGATGTTTTTCACTTCTAGATAGTTTTCTTACATGAGTTCATCCGTTCTCGTCTATTATTTTAACGAAAAAAGTTGTTTTTTCTTGAGAATTTGAAAGTTTGAAGGCTAAAATCAAAGTTATTTAAAGACAAACTCAAATCCAAGCTCTCATCTGTCAGATGTCACCATTTGTTCTTGCTGTATTGTTGTTGGAAATGACATATCAGAGCTTTTGATTTTAGGCAAACTGCCAAAAGAGTCAAGTGTAAACAGCTCATATATAGATATATACATCAATGAAACAAATCAAAATCATGAACATTGCCTCATTTTTTTCAACACAAACAACTCAAGGCTTAGAAAATTAAAGCCAGTCATTTGGGAAGGAAGCTCAACACCAAAAATACCATATTTTTACACGTCTTCTACCGATGACAAAATCCAGACCGAACGAGTCAACGACCCTTCGATCTCTGATTATACCCGACTGGGCAAATCAGCACTGAATCTAAACAGAGACCACCTTTTGTGTGTGTGCAGTCGATCTGAGTCATAGAGAATTTGATCCTTGTCGACTTGTTTCGAGCATCGACATGAAAGTTACCTGCATGATGCAGAGTCCATTTACCAGCTTCGTTTAAATAGCATTCAGTTTTGGCGTGCTGGCCATCTGAAGTCCAAAGCTGGAATTGTGTGGGCTTTATGTTCCAGCCATGAACGTGCTCGAGGTTATGGATTTTACGACCAAACCTCCACGATGTCTGACCCAATTGCAACCTGAAGTATAGGCTGTAAGTTCCTGGTGGCAATGGAAACTCTACCTCTCCACCAACTTCAAGCCACCATGTTTGCTGAAGATATGCAATAGTATTGAATCTACAAGCAAGAACATGAAAAACTGATTTCAGCAACACTATCCCGATCGTGCTACGACAGATACAGACCAATGAACATGGTAAGACTTATATTGTAACAGCACAAGTCCAAGCCCACCACAAGCAGATATTATCCTTTTTGAGTTTTTCCTTTCGGACTTTCCCTCAAGATTTTTAAAAAGTGTCTGTTAGGAGGAGGTTTCCACACTCTCATAAAGAACGTTTCGTTTTCTTCCCCAATCGATGTGGGATCTCACAATCCACCACCCTTTAGGGCCAAGCGAACTGTTACTCGTTCCCCCCTCCAATCGATATGGGATCTCACATATATTGTCCTCTCTGGGTTTTCACTTTCGGGCTTCCCCTCAAGGATTTTAAAACGTGTCTACTAGGGAGAGGTTTCTACACCCTTATAAAGAATGTTTCGTTTTCCTCCCCAACCAAGGTGGAATCTCACAATCCACCCCCTTGAAGGCCGAGCGAGCTGGCACTCGTTCCCTTCTCCAATCGAAATGGGATCTCACATATATTGTCCTCTTTGGGTTTTCCATTTCGGATTTCTCCTCAAGGTTTTTAAAACGCATTTATAAGAATGTTTCGTTCTCCTCTCCAACCGATGTGGGATCTCACAATCTACCCTTTCAGGGCCAAGCGAGCTGACACTCGTTCCCCACTCTAATCGATGTGGATTCTCACATATACATATCCTTAAGTTCTATAAGTTTCAAAGGCTTCCAAATATCAATGTCATGGTAAAACTTCATCTAGAATAACACTGCAAACGATACGAATTCAAATACGATACTAATACTCATAAAAACGCTTTTCCCGATGAATCGAGATCAAAACTTGCATCCATACCAAATCACTGTTCTTATCAAACTTTACATAGGAACCATTCTTCCTCAAACCAACAGATGTAACATTAAGATTGAACAAACAAGATCAAAACATACTCCATGAAATTCAAGCAAGAAAATCCTTGTATCAGTCTAAGAAACAAACAGAACTTCAAGATCCTAATGAGAAAGATTCATTTCAAAGCATTCAAAAGGCATAAACAAATTAGTTCTGTTTCATATCTTCTTGATGAATCTAACTCACCTGGATTCTTTAGTCGAGATACGATTCCAATATCTCCGATCATCAATCCCAGTTATCCTCAAATCCATTGAAGAAATCGATAAACAAACACCGCCGGAGTATTTATCCAGCCAAAATTTCTGAACCGAACAACGAAATATAAAAAATCAAATACCCAGAAGAGAATCAACGAACAATTTGCCCTAATTTTGTAAAAAAAACATCGAATCCGGTATTAAAGAAGAAACGATGAGATGAAATTACCTTATTTCCACCATCTAATGGATTCTGCTGAGAAAGCCTCGTGTAAATCTCTCTTTTACTCATAATCGGAGCAAAATCCCCAATAACTCGTCGAACAAGAAACCTATAATTAAGGGGCAATTTAGATTCCCAAACGCAATCGGCCCAGGAAGCCGCACGAAAGGCCTGATTCAGCCTTGCCAGTTTACAAATCTCCACCGGACTCAAATACTCCATAACAGCCGCAACAAAGCTCTCCGACAAGTTCCCGAGACAGGGGTACGGCGGCGGCGGCGGTGACGGCGGGTGAGACCCATTATGGAGGCGAAAAAACGCGGAGAAATTAACACCCATCAGAGAAGAAAGACGATCATGAGAGAAAAATCAAAAGGGGTTGCTTGAAATTGTTAGTTTTGAACAAATCGGGGGATGGAAAGTGGATATTTGGGATTAAAAATGTAAGGAAACAGGGAAGAATTTGGTTGGGATGAGAGTGGACTTTTGTGGATGGTTGCTGTTCATACACTAGATTGAGCCACTGGTTTTTTTTTTTTTTTTTTTTTTTTTTTTTTTTTTTTTTTTTTTTTTTTTTTTTTCTTATTATTATTTTAATAATTTAATTTAATTTAATTTAGTACAGTTCATCACTTTTGGCTTGGACAAGAACTCCTCTTAAATTTAGTTTGGATTCTTTTAATATATATTTTAATTAAATTATAAATTTAATTTTAGTTATTTAAATCTTTAATTTTATCCACTAATAAATTATTGATATATTCAATATTTTAAAAAAAATTATGAATTTATTAGACTAAAAATTGAATTTTATGTTTACATATTAAAAAGATACAGAAAATGAAAAATTTAGAAATTTATTAGACTTATTTATTGTGAAAGTTGAATGATGTGCCATGTAGGATATTTTTTGTAAGGAGGTTTTGTCATATTCATACTTTATGGAGTTGATATGGAGGAAAAGAGCTAATTTGGAGAAATAATGGTTGGAGATAGCTCATCCGAGTCTTACAGAAAAACGGGTGAATTTATTGGTAAATAATCACGAACTTCCTTTATGAACTTATCTCGGCCACTTAACCATTTTGGATGATTTTTATTGTATTGAGACCGTCTTAATGAGCTCTATACTTTCTATGAAGAGACGAAGTCCGTACAAGAATTCTCTCAATTAACCAAAAACAGAAACGAACGAAAAAGAAGAATGCTGGTACATTTTCGTAAGCTAAAAAGAAGAAAGAGTTGACCGGTCCAATTGAACTGGTTTAACTCATTTTGACTCAAGTTTAATGCTTAAAGATGTGTCGTATAAATATTTTAGAAAATAAAATGGCCCATTGAAATTTCAAGGGACAAGTAAAAAAAATAAATTAGTTTAATTAATATAATTACAAATAAATAAATAAAAAGTTTTTCTGACCATATAAATTAATAGTTTTTAAATTCATTCAATTATTGATTAGTTTTTTATTAATACAAAAAATATATATATATAAAAATTGTATTTAATTGTTTTATTATTATTTTTTGGTCCTATTTTTTTAAGTAGTCGGTCCATCTGGTAAAATAATAAATTATTAATTAAAAAATAAAAATTTGGAATTTGCAATGTAGACCACTCGATAATGGAACGTGTGAAAGCTCTACACGTGTAAGCTTTATCGGAGTAGCCTACTACAGCCACGTATGGCCATCCATGAGAGGCCAATCAATCGACATTGACCATGAGCCTTTAATTGGCTAGAGCTACTGTTTACTCAAGTAAACTTGTTTGGATCGAGTCAACTTGACTAACCCAACCGTCCCTACTTTTAAGAATATTATGGAAATTAATATCATTTGACGTTTGTAATAGATGTTAGTGATAGGTGGTGACTTGTAAATGTTTGATATTTGAGTTTGTAATAGATATTAGTGTCCAAAAAGAAGCGAAGCTAGAATGTCAAAATGCTCTATCACCCTAAATCTAAGCGAGGGAAGCGTTGCTCTCTTTGTATGCTTTTGTTGTTTGGTGTATTTCCGTTACCATAGAAACGGTTAACATTTCAGAATGTGGTTAACTAATCGAGTATGATAAATTGGATCTTAACCGCTATAATCATTACTACGTGCGTTTCATTCTCTTAAACTTCTCCCGATCTTGAACCTAGCTGTACAAGGTAGAAACTCATCCCACGAATGGTTCAGAGGCCCGTGTAAGAACGAAGAGGGTTAACTTACTATATATAAATAAACTAACTAACCATAATTAATTATTTAAAATTAACGTATGCAAAAGTCGCCTACAAATGCTTTACGCCCAATCATTTCGGATAGCGCTTGCATCCTCTGTATTATCGCAGCTGCTGGCACAGAGTTAGCCGATGTTTATTTCCCAGATATCGTCATTGCTTCTTCTCTGGGAAAAGAAGTTCACGACCCGTAGGCCTTCTACCTCCACGCGACATTTCTTTGTCAGGCTTTCGCCCATTACGGAAAATTCTCCACTGCTGCCTCCTGTAGGAGTCTAGGTTGTATCTCTGTCCCAGTGTGGCTGATCATCCTCTCGGACCAGCTACTGATCATCGCGTTGGTAGGCTATTGTTTTACCAACTAGAACATGCAATAAAATATTAGAAAATAAGTGTAAAATGTAAATAAAAATATAATTTATTTATATAAAATTGTCTTATTTTCAAACATATTATTGACGAGGTCAATATAGCCACGTGTAAAACTGTAAATTCCAGGGTGGAAAAAGAATATCAGAAAAAGCACGTAATCCAACGGTCGGTCTACGTAAACAACGAAGGAGAAAGAAAAAAGAAAAAGGAAAAAACTCTAATTCAGAAAGTCACGTGCGTCGAGCGTGACGTTTTTCCAGATGAAGAAAAAAAAGAGAGTCCGTACACCCTCAATAAGCCTTCTCCTTCAACGGTCATATTCCACCAACATAATTCAACGGTCACTTACACTGTCTCTCTCTCCACCGTCAGATTGAAATCCAACGGCCACCCATCAAAGTCCCCACAGTCCTTATACCCTTTTTTCCCCTCTGGTTCATCGTTTTTTGTTTCAGTGCTGCTAAATCAAATCAGTCACAGAACAAAGAGGAGAGGAGAAAGAAGAAGAAGAACAACAACAACAACAAGGGAAGTTGACAGAGACAGAGACAGGTAATGGAAGTTGAACAGAAAAAGAAAAAAAAAAAAAAAAAAAAAACACAACCAAAAACCAAGAACAGAACAAACCTCTGTTTTCTCTCTCTCTCTTTCTGTGGATTCTTAGCTGTGTTTTTTTTCTCTGTTTCTTCAGTTGTTAGATGAATGTTTTGCGGCTTTGGTGGAAACGTTTTGTTCTTGATTCGATTTTCCCGTAATGGCTTCAATCGCTGTTCTGGGTTTGGCATTTTTCTTCGTGTTCATCTCCAGAGAATGTTTCTTCAACTCTCTTCATCGGTTTGTAAGTAAATCTTCTCTCTGTTTTTTCCAATGAATTTGCTCTGAAACTTTGGGAATCCGATGATTTTGTTTTCCTTGGCTGCATTATTGTAATCTAATTGTTATTCTTTCATTCTTTGTTTTGGGGTTGGGATTGAATTTAGGACACACATTTTGGAACTTTAAAACAGAGTGTTTATATTTTGATTCTTTCTCATCGGATTCCTCTCGGTTTTTTTGTTTGTGTTCATATGATTTTTTTGTAATTGTTCTTCACACACACACACACGTAGATTCATTCTTTTTAGTTCTTAAAAGGGAATTGATTTGTTTAGATCTTAAACTGGAAAAGGAATTTAGAAAGAAAAAAACAGAGGAAAAGGAAAATTGGGTTGTGGGGGTGTGTTGATCTTTTTAGAATATCGAAGCATAAAAGTTGGAAGAAGATAGAGGATGTTGGCCGGGTGTTCTAGTTCAACATTGCTCTCGCCAAGGAACCGATTGAGAAGTGAAGCACAGCCGCAGTTTCAAGCTTGTCATTTGCAGTTACCAACTTCAATGAGCACACAGAGATTGGATTTGCCCTGCAGCTTTTCCCGTCCGAAAGATACCTCAGCATCCACTGCTCGATCCCCGTCGATTCGGCCGGTCGGGCTCTCAGTTGAGAAGCAGAACATTAGGCTTCCGCCGCTGTCTTCCACCAACAAGCAGATCAAGCAAGAGTTTTGGAAGGAAAAAGGTAAGAACTTGAAGAGAATTGCAGAACAAATTGGGATTGATGATGATGAAAACTTCATTAGCAGCGCCAAGAGGAAGAGAGAAAGCAGAGATGATGGCGGAGACCGGTTGATTCTGAGCCAATTCGGCAGCGGCGGAGGGAGTTTCTGGTTTCATCAGCCAGATGGGGATGAAGAAGAACTCTGTTTTCTTCCTGGAAGTGAAGTAATTTCTTTGCCATCGCCATTTTTGTCAGAGATCGCTGATTTGGGAGAAAGCAGCAGCCATGTGAAGGCTGAGGACGGGTCAGGCTCTGGTTCGGGCTCGGGATCGAGTTCATCATCCGAAAGTGAAAGATTTTCATTGAGAAGAAGAGTAACAACAGAGAATGTTCCAACAGCAGCAGCAGCGGCAGCAACAGGTGTGGAAATTGGGAATGGTAGCTCAAGAAATCCTTCATATTATCACCATCAAGGATCTGGTTTGAACAATGAAAGGGAAGAAGAAGAAGGGTTTGAGCTGATCAGTCTTCTAATGGCATGTGTGGAAGCAATTGGCTCAAAGAACATTGGTTTGATAAACCAATTGATAGACAAACTTGGTAGCCGAGCATCTCCAAAAGGGTCATCACCAATTTCACGTTTGATAGCATATTACACAGAGGCTCTAGCCATCAGGGTGTGTAGAGTTTGGCCACAAGTGTTTCACATAACCCCGCCGAGGGAATTCGAACAGACGGACGACAATACCACCGGGACAGCGCTTCGGCTTCTGAACGACGTGAGCCCGATCCCGAAATTCATCCACTTCACCGCGAATGAGATGTTGTTAAGAGCATTTGAAGGGAAAGACATGGTTCACATCATAGACTTTGACATAAAGCAAGGGCTGCAATGGCCAAGCTTGTTCCAAAGTTTGGCATCTAGAGCGAACCCTCCAAGTCACGTTCGAATCACCGGGATTGGTGAGTCGAAACAGGAGTTAAACGAAACGGGAGATAGACTGGCGGGGTTTGCCGAGGCATTGAGGCTGCCGTTCGAGTTCCACGCAGTGGTGGATCGGTTGGAGGATGTGAGGCTATGGATGCTTCATGTTAAGGAGCAAGAGAGTGTAGGCGTGAATTGCATACTCCAACTGCACAAGACACTATATGATGGAAATTGGGGAGCATTAAGGGACTTCTTGGGGCTTATCAGAAGCACAAACCCAACCATTGTCGTAATGGCCGAGCAAGAAGCCGAGCACAACGAACCGAGGTTGGAGACAAGAGTAGCAGTGACACTCAAGTACTACGCAGCCATATTCGACTCAATCGACGCTAGCCTTCCACCGGA